TATATAAACAAAGATAGAAGACATTTATATCCATCAAATATAACATCAATTAATTATTTCCAACAAGATGAAGTAGCAGATATCTTCACCATAGCCGTTGCGCTTGATAGACCGCATCATCTAATTATCAAGGAGAGTTAAAAGTACAATAGTAAGATAGGGGCATAAGTGGAGTAATTGATCCTATACGGTTGTGTGAGTTATAAACCTAAACAAGGATATTTTCTGTAATTTTTCACATAAGTAATAATCTAAACATATGACTGATCCCAAAAGGAGGGTCTCATCATTCTCTCTCTCGCTCCTCTTATCATTCTTCCGTCTTTATTCCTCTCTTTTGTTCTTACCTCTTCATTCTATTCCTCTTTCTCCTTCAAAAACTTTTTGATTGGTGTAGAACTAGATTATATGTTTCAATTAACTCATATCAGAAAAAATTTACAAAATCAAAAGTTGTAAAATCAAAAATTGAAACTAGAAAGAATCAGAAAACCAAAAAATATTGAACAAAGTCATTAGATCAAAACCTGATATTTAAAATTCCAAAACCTGTGCTAAGAGTATTTATGAAACTAAAAGATATAAAATAAAACGAACAAGAAATGAACCAGAAAACCAAAACCCAAGTATTGAAAAAATTCAGTAAACCAAATCCTCATTTTGAAAGAAGAATATTATGGAACCAATCCCATACTTGGAAAATTTATAAAACCTATGCCATAACTGATATTAAAAACTAGAAGAGATCACAAAACTGAGACAGAACTTTGGAGAAATTTCTACAAGCCCAAACCCAAAACCCTTCTTACAAAAGGCCAACAAACCCAAGCTCAAACTTAAAAAACACAAAAACAGAAACCAGTCATAGAAAAAATAAGAAGGAAAAAAAATTAAAGAAGACGATAACAAAACGAAACCAAGATCCAATCATGAGAAAAGAAAACAAAGAAAAAACCTAATTCTTGAAAACACCTCCTCAAGACCTCTTCGTGGTCTCTCTATTAATCGATTTCTGTTCTTTTCGATTGCAAGAATTGCAAAGAACAAAATAAATTTCTATCTGCAAAAGAAAAAAAACCTCAAATTTCTTTTCTTAGAGGAATTTTCTCTCTCGAAAAGTTCAAAATGAGTTCTGGGGTTTGGGATTCCCCCAAGCCATATGCTCCCCCGCTTTCGTGGGGTGGGCGGTGGTTGGGGAAAAGACCAATCTTGCTTCTGCCTGGGGGCCTGTTTTCTTCCCATGGCGGGCTGCTTGGAGGCATCCACCTTGGGCATGGTGTTAGGCACTTGCTAAGGCCACCTAAATTGGCGTCTAGAGCATCAGGCCTCATCCCGCCTCAGGTTGTCACCTAGGTGTCTAGGAGGGCCATATTTTTAAGCACAGTTTTCATGTGGTTGCAGCGTCCATGGCTTCATGTAATATTTATTTCTATATTTATGTTTAGGAATCATGCCTCCAATGGTGCTTTTCAGTGTCTACTGCTGGTTGTCACTGGTGATTACATTAACATGTCAGGATATTTGCTTAACAAAGTAAGAAGCGGGACTTCTTTTCGTCACATCTATTATAATTTGATTTAAGAGGATCTGTGCTATGGGACAATATGGTCCAACTGGCTGGGGAATGTTTCACCTCCACCTGTATTTTGCCTTTCTGAGAAAGAACAGTGGATGCCTCGCTTTTGTTTCTCCACCATGCACATAATGTGTATACTATACATTATTTATTAAGGATAAGATTTCAGCCAAGAACTGCATTTACACTATTTTTACTGTTCTTTGAATTAGGTTGGTTGTTAAAACATGTTTATTTCATTACAGGGTTATGCTGGAGGTGATGAAGCTAAAATGCTTAAAAGACATCTTGCTGGAACGTCTGCCAAAATTGGTATTGGAGCAAATAGGGCTGCGACAGCTGCTTGCTTCCTCAACAAGTATGGTTACACAGATCACGGCGGTCCCCTGTTTTCAGACAAAATGTACCCAATTCAAGAATTTGGCAGCTGCTATAATTCACTTAAAATTGGAGTTGTGATTTTGGATGATGCGATGCAGGTTATGCCCTTTTATTTTCTATATGATAAAATGCATGTTAATTGCCTTAAATTATCGTTATGATGTCCTGAATACTATTTCATATGGCTCATAGCTGTAATTTGATGACTAGTATGATGACTGTATTAGGTTGGCTTCAGTTATTGACGCTCATAAATCTGAGCATTCAGTTTGACGATTACTTTCTAGATGGTGCTGGTCATGGCTCAGCATTGCTATTACTAGTTAAGAAAAGGACGTGCGTCCCCTCACCACCAATAGTAATCCTGGTTAACCTTCGATTCATGGGAAGCCCATGGACCCCCTGTATATTTTATCAATGGGTGTCCATCTCCTTACTTTTCGTCATCTTATTGCATATCTACCCCTTTCCTTTTAATTTATGCCCATTTGTTGGTCTATTGTTTGTTAAGCTGATGAGGTTAAATTTTTTAAATAATTTTTGTGGAAAAAGTGGGGTGATTGTTTCAGTTGTTATTTTTCTTGAGTTGCAGCATTGGAGCTTGTCGAGAGATGTTGAAATTGTAATGGTTAATGGCATCATGTTGTGGGGTAACTGTCATCTACTTCCACGTGGACCTCTTCGAGAACCTGTGGCAGCACTTGAAAGGGCAGACATTGTAGTCATCCATCACGCGGACTTGGTATTCAAAATAAGTCTTGTCTAGAAAGAGTTATTTTCTGCCTTTCCTTTGTATCATTTACAACAGTGTCATTTGATCCTGAATCAGATTATGTAATTTTGCTGTATCAGATAGGTATTGATCACTTCCAACTGCTTTCTCTTATGATTTATTCTATCTAATTATTTGTTTGTTTAATAATTTGTGATATTTGCTAACTGTATTGCAAAGGTTTTGAAACAATTTAGCCAATATATCCTTTACAGTACTAACATGGACTACCTGGCCACATTCTTGGGAACATATACCATGCTGGTTGTGGCCATCTCCTATGCAGCTGTCATCAATGTTTACCTAAGAACTTCACTGTTCCCATGTGTTGGTTGAAGCTGCTTATGCCTGAATTTAGATAGTTACATTTATACTTGTTTTTATATTTAAATACCAAACCTGATTTCCTATCAATGTGACCTTGTAGCCATCAATTTGATTTAGACTTCTTAATGTATCTTAAGGCTCTTAACACATTTGAAACAGTTATAAAAATATAAGAAGATATGGAAAAATGTGCTGTGATTAATGGTATAGTTGGCAATTTAATTTAGTATTTGTCTCTAATATACACGTTAAGTTGCTGGTATCCTGATAAGGATTAATAGGGACCGTTAAGTTGCTGGTATCCTGATAAGGAGTAATAGGGACCTTTTTTTTGTCTTTTATTCTTTAATGCAATTCATAAAATTAAATAAATCACTGTGTTATACCAACCAAGCATATAAATAGCATCTAGTAGCTGAGTAAACCACAACATATAGTGAAATGCAAAATACTACACAGTCTAAACTCTGAAGTACTTTGCAAGTACATAACATCCAAACACCAAAGTTCCTGACATTAAAAGTAAAAAAAGATAACTGCACTCGATCAGACTCAAAGTCCTGTCCATGTGCATATCCTATATGTTCAACATCTGAAACCAAGGCTGTCAAGCCATCATCATCTGTGTGATCAACCTTCTCATCCACATATACTTGTTCCTATAGTATTATCGAAGTCAGCCTCCTCCTTGATTTCTGGAACCGATGACAATCTAATTCTCTAACTCTCTTCCTTTGTAATCTAGTGTTAGGTTTAAAGTCTGTCAAACCCAGAAGCCCATTCGACATCTAAACAAGTGTTATCAGGTTCCTCCAAGACAGTATGATTAACACCCATGAGCTTCTGGTACCCGCCTCAAGGTGTTCATTTTATAAAAATTATATTACTTGATTTGATTTTTTTAGCTCTAGCATGCTCCTTCATTTACTATGGAGCCATGACAGAAAGAAACGAAAGAAGTAAAGGAAAAAAGTGTTGCCTAACCAATGCTCGGTTGATCTCTTTAATTATTGGGAACTATGGGAAAAAAAAGAAAGCTTAACACGGTCCACATGGTATTGCAACCGGATGAATTATAGGTGGGGTGAAACACTCGAATTGCGAGATGTTGTGGATTTGGTGTCTCGCTCCCATAAGATGCCCACCACTCACTTGCATATCTAAATATTTCATACAGGTAAACCATCATTAAAAAAATTGATGAGTTAAGTTTGCATGTTCATAAGTCATACACTTTTTATTACTTGGTTGTGCGGTTTCTCTATTTCGGATTGCAATATCTCATCTAAAGTTCCCTAATACACACGTAATTTTATTGATTCGTTACTTTGGAGTTCATCCTTTATACTCTAATTGGGAGTGGTCGCTTGAACCATCTTTCGAGGCCCCCATGGATTGTATGATTTGATTCAATAGCAAGGTGTTTGTACTTTGTAATGAAGGCACCAATTAAAAAAAATATTTAGCTGCGTAGAGGGGCCGGCAAAACTGTGTCCCATCTCCTATCTACAATCTTAATTATAGGCTTCTATATGCTTTCATCATCATTAAGGACCATCTTGATGTCTTCTTTTGCTTGAATCATTGCCTTATGTATGAGACTTATGAGGACATCATGACATTGGGTGTTTTTTTTGGATGGTGAAAATAACATTATTTGATCCTGTAATTTTTTTTGGCTATCTTAAGTGTATTTATGTAACTTTGCCATGGCCAGTCCCAAGCCTGGGGAAGGAGGAGGGTTGTATTAGGTTTGCGGCCATCTAAAACTTTTGCCACATCTCTTTCCATGAATCCTGATTTGTGTCTCTGACCCAAATAGTTGGGATAAGGTTTAGATGATGATGATTTGAAGTGTATTTATGTCTTTTGGAGTTGGAGAGAATTCATGGGTAGTCTAGTCTTTTATTATTAGATTTTAATTTAGGGGTATTTTAGCTCATTATGTTTAAGTAAAATTGTATAAAAGGGGAGAGGGAACCACCTTGCACCTTCGGAAATTTTTTTTTTTGGGACTTTAAGAAAGAAATAAAAACCTAGATAGGGCTTCTTGGATTCTTTGATTTGTAGCACCTCACAGGATCACTCCCTGCCAAGGTCTTTTTTATTATTTTTTAATTTCTTATTCTCTTCTTTGCTCTCTACTCTATTCCTCTCGTGCATTCCCTTTTCTTTTCCTTCAATTTTTTTGTCTCCTCCATTCTTATCCCTTCTTTCCTTTTCTTTCCCTAAATTCTTTTGTCATCACTTTTCTTTTCCTTCTTCCTTTTTGTTTCCGTAAATTCTTTTATATATCCTATTTTTTGTTTCTTGTTTCTTTTCTTTCTCCCTTTTCCTTTATTTTTTTGAGGTAATAATTTCCTTTTTCTTATCATTTTCTTCTTCCATCTTTTTTTTCCTTCTTTTCCCTTATTTTATTCTTTCTTCATATTTTGTTTTGCTTTATTATAAACCTCCAACCTTGAAACATACCCCATTCAAAGGATTTATTAAAACGTTAATAATAGTAACCAAAACATACCCCATTCAAAGTTCTTAAAATTAACCAAAACAAAATCTATTAAAAATTTTAACCCTGAATTTGAGTGGCCTCCAAGTATGTTTTAGGGTCTTGTAACCAAAGATTAGCTCGTGGTTGAACTTAGGATACATCAGTAGCCCATAGAGGGCTTTGCATCACCATTAACTAATTGTAACAGTATCACCGAAGGATGTGAAACAAGTGGACTGAATATGTACTTAACAAGGTTTGCTTTGAGTTTCTCCCATCTTGATGCTTTGACCACTAAGTTTTAGTCCCTTTTTCAGAAGTGAACATGCTTCTTAAAGCATCTTTATGCTTGTGTAGGCTTTGAAGAGTGAGATGTGTTGTGGAAAATTATTTATTTATTATCTCACTCTGTATTCATTGTGAATTCCACCATCGTGCTTAAGACTAACATATGGTAAAGAAAGGGCCCTAAAACATACTTGGAGGACACTGAAATTCAGGGTTGTCTCTAATATAGACAAGCCCAAAATATATGCTTTCTTTGAAAGAAGGACAATGTGATCTAGCACAGTATCTATAGTTTAAAATTTTTTCATTCTTTCTTTACAATACTGGCCAGATCACTTACATATGTCCAAAAATACAACATTAATTTATAGAAATAAAACTTAATACAACCTAGGATCTTCTTATGCATACCATTGCAATTCTATACAATCCAACAAAAATAGAATGCATGAAGAATCGATAAACATGAAGTCATTAGAACTACCGAATACCTTGCCTCAGGTTACCCTCAAGGATATTGTACACCCCACACCAGTTCTCCGCCACCGGTGGTGCACTGGATCTTGAATCTCAGCAAATGGAAGCTGTGGCTATACCCTCTTCTTCAAAAGTATGAGAACATGTGGTTGCATAACATGGGGCTTCTCCTCTCTTGATCACAACTATATGGGGTGTGCCCCCCTTTTTACACTTTATGGAGCATAGCCCCTTCTCTTTCTTTGTAAGTCTTTGAGAGGGTGAGAAATAGGGGCGGCAATGGGTCGGGTATGGGTCTGGTCCTATTGGACTTGGACCCGAATAAGCCAAGGTGGACCCGTACTCGGACCCAAACCCGATGGGTCCAGAGAACCCTATACCCGTACTCGTACTTGTACTTGTAATAACCCTATGGCCCCGCCCTACCCGTACTTGTAGCCAGACTCCAACCACTCCCAAAATATGTAGGAGAGAGAAAGAGAGAGAGAGAGAGAGAGAGAGGAGGAGTAGGTTA